AAGTGTCGAGGCTATAATAGTTTTTAAATTAGAAGCGATTTTTTTCCACAAATGATAGGACTGAAATTTCGCGCGCCCAGGCACGGCGACATGACAAGTGATATTGTAAATTTATACAATAAACATAACATCATAAAAAGAGCGATATTCATAGGAGCACTTATATCACTTGTCATTTCGCCGTGCCTGAGCGCGCGAAATTTCAGTCCTATCATTTGCGGAAAAAAATCGCTTCTAATTTAAAAACTATTATAGCCTCGACACTTTTGTATTAGGATTTTCGTCTGGAAATGTTCTAAGGAATCTGTCATTAAGAGGACCTCCGGTGGTTTTAGGACACCCTGTATGTATAATATATTAAATATGTTTCTATATAATATTGTATGTCTTTATAATTCTTTATAATTTAATGTAATTCTATATAATTTTATAAATTTATATGAGAAAACTTGTTCATTTATAATTTTATCTAATTGTGTATACATATACAGGGTGAGTACAAAGTACCGGACCGGTGAGATATCTCGACAAATATGGGAGATATGGAAAAATGTTTCAGACAAAAATACTTTTTGAGATATTCAAGAAATAATTTATAACTTTTTCAATGTTTAGTTTATAATATCTCGATAACTGTCTGTCGGAGGGAAAAGTATAGTACAGGACTTTTTTACTTGATTTAGTCTCAGGAATATGCTGTTGCAATGATGTTTCAATTATTGAAAATTTTTGTGTATTGTAACACATAAAATTTACATACACAAAAATTTTCAATAATTGAAACACCATTGCGACAGCATATTCCTGAGACTAAATCAAGTAAAAAAGTCCTGTACTACTTTTCCCTCCGACAAACAGTTATCGAGAGATTATAAGCTAAACATTGAAAGAGTTATAAATTTTCTCTTGAGTATCTCAAAAAGTATTAGGCAAATCAAAAAATGTTTCAGACAAAAGTTGTTCATATTAATTAGTAGAATAAGATAGTATAATAAACAATAGAGATTTCCATTTAAAAAAATGACGGCGACCTCTATATAATCATAAAAAACTTATTTTTTTTGGAAAATTTATTTTACCATTATATAACCCTTTTAAAACCGTACAACTTTTTTGTCTAAGAGATTTTTCCGTCTTCCACATTTTTCGAGATATTTCACCGGTCCGGTACTTTTCACTCACCCTGTATAGTTAGTATATGTATACGTAGTTAAACATATTTTAATATAATTATAAATTAGTAAATTTTCCTTTTAAAATTTTTTTCATATAAATTCATAGAATTATATAAAATTACAAAGAATTATATACAATTATAAAGATTTTAATATATTATAGAATTATAAAGACTTATATAAAAATACAATATGTAAAAACTTGTATGGAAATATTTGGTATGTAATTTTACATATGTATAACTATACACAGATTTAGACATATATTATTTGTGTATGAAAATTGTTTTAACAAGGGCAATGTTCTTTCGATCATTATTAATAAAAATATTATTTTGCATACATTTATTTAAATGAATTCTTTATTTTACATTAAGGAAAAGGTATATGAAGAATTATGCGAAATTTATGGAACTAAAAGTACAATAGATGCGCCAATCATGTACGAGGACTTACAATATATGCGTTATTTGAACGGTGTCATAAAAGAAACTATGAGAATTTTTTCCATTGTACCTCTAGTTGGACGAAAGGCAACAAAAGACATAAAAATAGGTTTGTCCCTTTTTGCATTCTTATTTGAATTACTTATTGTAAATAATAAGAAAATTCTGATTTAGAGATATGTTACAAAAGTAGTTGATATCAATATTTTACAAGAATAGTGATGTTATTTTATTAAAATTTAAATAGAGAATAATAAAATAAATATTATTTTAATTTTCCGCGTACTATATTGTTTTGTGAATTATATATGTATATCAATTGTATAATTAATTTTGGTTGTATTACTTAACATTATTGCTATTATAGTAAGCTTCTGTAGTAATAATTTTTCTGTATAAAAATTTTAGGTGACAAGACTATACCAAAAGGCGCGAATATTATCGTTACAATTTTTCATATTCATCGAAATGACAAATACTGGCCAAATCCTCTAAAATTTGATCCTGAAAGATTTCTTCGAGAGGACACTAATCATTCTCAATATTATATTCCTTTTAGTGTTGGTTCAAGGAATTGCATTGGTAAGCATAAACAAATTATAAAATATAGTAAAATTGTTATATATGTATATGAATTCACAAATTTGCAGGAATGAAATATGCTGCAATAAGTACAAAAGTTATTTTAGCAACATTAATTAGAACATTTTCTTTTAAAGTTAACAAAAAAATTAAATTAGAGAATATTAAATTAAACTTTGACATAGTTTTATCAACGGAAACACCTTTGAAAGTCCGAATAGAAAAACGGATATAATAAATATACGAAATAATTTATTTGCACAACAATGACACAACATGGTGCTGGTGAGTTTCGATTTAATACTTTTTGTAATATATCAAATGTAATAATAAACAGCATACAATATTTATATGTTCCATATATTTATAAAATTTATTTTAATATTTTATACAGGATTACGAAAAAACACTCTCTGGGGCCCTGGGACGTTACTTTTTTTATAACTGTAACGGTAACGTAGTTATTTCTTTTAGTAACTGTAATGAATTCAACAATTACTTTTATTGTTACATCTTCAATCGTCATGTATCAATCGATATTCATACTGTACCTATTATTATCATAGATCGTTATATTTCACATTATATATTATATATTTAAGATGTTTCAAATTATTACGTCAAAAATTTGAATGTAAACTTGAGAATACAATTAAACTTGAGAATACAATTAAACACTTTAGCTATATTTATATATTTCATGGAAATAAAAATTTTTATTTACATTTTGAGCGTTTTAAAATTGATTTTCTTAAATTTTTCATGATTTGACAATTTTAAAATAAAAAGTGTTTTATTAATATTTTTATACAGTCAGTAATAAAATATTGCAAAAGTAAATGTTGTAGTTTGTCTGATCTCATTTCAGAATTAAAAAATAACGGAAAAAGTATAATAATTAATTGTTTTTTTTAAGTAACGGTAATGATAACGAGTTACTTGTGAAAATCAGTAACTATAACGGTAACGAGTTACATTTTTTTTACTCGGTAACGAATAACGATAACTTATAGTTACACTTAAAATGTAGCTTTCCTATCCCCGTATATTCAGAACTTTTGTGTAATATTATTGTAATACAATACATTACGCGCGATACTCGTACTAAGCATTATCCTTTTCTTCTATTTTTACTCTTTGCTATTGTTGTTTTGTGTTTCTTTTCTTCTTCTTTTACAATGGTATTTTTTTCTTTCATATATGTATGTATTACTTTACCACATTTTTTATTCCATCATCACTATAGATGAGAGTTGCAAAATACCTTCTTTCTTCTTAATTTTCTTCTTTATCGTTTCCTACGCGTAAATACCTCTCTTTCCAAAGTGAGGTATATCTTTACTCGTGTTTTTCCACCTCCGTTCTCTTGCCTTTTCAATATTCTTCCTATGGTATTTATATCTGTTGCTTTCTCTTCTTTTTCCTACTTTTTTCCCTTATATTTTCTCCTCTCCTTTCTTTTGCCTTAAGTTCTATATTATTTTTCAGTTTTTTTTCTTACATTTGTTCTATATTCTTCTTAAATCTTCTTTTTCATTTTCGTAACTTTCCTTAAACATTCTCCTTTTTCTTTTTTCTGATCCTCTTCAACCTTCACTATAAACAACGTGGAAAAGAAGCCTCAACTGTTCGATATAAACGACATTCACGCGGATAACATCCGCTTTTTAGAAAGGGTCCTGTTTTAATATATTATTTTTTGTATATGTTCAGGATTTACTTGTAAAATTGTCTTAAGCCCACTTTATACGATTTATAATTCGCAACAGAATTCGAGACAGAATTCCATTTTTAAATTTTTATGTATCGTGTAATACAGAAAACATTTGAACAATCAGAATTATAATTATAATGCTCCAATTTTGTACAATAAATAGAAAAGATGCATCAAATATGTGTAGTGCATGAAAATGCGTGATTGATTAATTGTATCTGGTCTAATGAAAAACCTTAAGCATTGATTGCTGTGAGTATTTGTGTCCAATCGGCAGGGAAAACGGACTTCATCCATATGTAAATGTTATAACCTACACTAACCTAATCGACAAACATATGTCAATTTAATATATGAAATTATAAAATAGAATTCTATCTTGAATTCTGTCGCGAATTATAGATCGTGTAAAGTGGGCTTTATAGAACATTATTTCTGGTACATTTTCGTATTGTCTCAGAAAGAAATTAGAAAGAAATTAGGAAAGAAATTAGAAATTTGGAAAGAAATTAGAGATACCTTCAAAAAAGGGACAACTGTCCGCATACAACACGTAACAAATTCGCTACGCTCATCACGAATGCTCTGACAACGAGCTAATTTTTCGATCGGACATTTGCATTTGCCAGTGGGTTGGACTAATACGGGGATTTTTTAAATTCAGTATCTCGATAACTATTCGTCCAAGCGCAAAATAGTACAGGACTTTTCTGTAAAAACACGCGCGCACGCGCACAGGCATACGCAAACGCACACGCACACTGTTGGATTTTCGCAAGAATCGCTTATTGCACGTGTTACGTCCTGTGGACTCCACAATTTCTCTCTTTCGGAAAACCATAAGTAAAATACTTTTTCTTCTCTTAGAAACTAATTTTAGAAATCAGCGGATATAGACTAGCTAACGCACGAGTCGCTTCCCCACAAAATTTTTTGTTAAAGTTTCACTTTTCGAAACTCGAAACGACTTAGTTTACATTGTTACTAGGGTAAGCGAACCTATTTCGGAACACTTTTTAAAAACTTGCTGTATCTTTTACATAAAATCTTCTAAAACAAATCTGATATATGCTTAAGAAGTCATCCTTTAACTATTAATTAGGCATAAATCAATATTTGAAGAAGACTTTGTTTTTAAATGGCGGACAATCAATTCAAGTACTAAATTTGTTCCGAATTAGGTTCACCTACACCTAATTCGGAACAGCTC